TTCTTTGTTTTCTAAAAACGTTGCCCTTACTTTTGGATAACATAATCCTGTGTTGTAAGGACGTTTTACAAACATAAATTTCAATCACTCATTGGTCACTAGTTGAAGATGGGTGTGAAGCCTTTTGGATATTTTGATTTCAGGTTATCTAATTTAGTTAGTAGTTGTATTATTAGTATATTTATTAGCATATGCTTAGATGTATTTATACTTTAGTATGACTAAAGTAAATACACCCAATTTATGCTTCTCTTGTTTTATAGTTCTATTCGCGCGTCCGTAAGCGCTCCTGTCATCAAAAATCGGTAGCATTTTAAATGAGAAAATATTTAATTTGAAGTTAAAAAACTTTTACAATATTAAATGTAACTCAATTACATTATATCTAACAAAACTAGTCGACGCAGCATGGTGCCAAGAACGCTAGCTGCATTTCCTCGCTGAATAGTAAGTAATGCTAAATCTTTTAGCGAGAAAATAGCCAGCCCTCTTGTAAAATTCAATTATTTTTATTCAATATGGAAGCATTACATATATGTATTGACTGTCATAATACTACCGTCAACGTAAACCATTCAATAATTTCGATGCGCGGGGAACCCCTGGGCCTAAGGTACCTACAGTAAATGTTAAAAATAGGTAATCTGAACAAAGAGGCTCATTAAAATCATGTTTTATTTCATCTTGTGATAACATTTTATGGGGAGGAATAAAAAGGAAAAATCCATATGTATATGTGTGTATAAAATAAATATGTATATGTGTCTACCTAAGTTCATATTGCTTTCAATAATAATTAGACGTGACGAAATCTTATGCATATGTATCCTATTCAAATCTAAATGTTTTAAACCATCATGTATTGTAACTTTATTTCACCTTGTGTCGAACCCTGAACCATCCGTTTGATAGTCGTATATTACGTTAGTTGGAGGACACAGTCTTCAGACTTTGAACATGTATATGTTAAATATTAACATTAATTATTCGACGGCCTCTAAAACAAAACAATCGCACTAAACGCCACTACGCTCGTCGAAGCCCACGCCCGAATAAATTCGGAAAAAAACGACAAACCACGCGAGCTCGTTCCGCGATAAAAATTGATATGATTCCAATAAATCTCACGGTTTCTCGCCGAATTTTGTTTTTTATACACCTTAATCGTTTCCTGGTTCGCGGATTTGGCGGCTGGCTAGCGTACGAGCCGATTACTCATGTCGCTAAATCGCCGCCCGTTACAGGAATAGCTCTAAATACGACACGCTGAAATAGTCGTCTTCCTCTACGTTGGCTAAAAACTGGGAGCTTTGCGAAAGCTCCGATGGAAGACAATGCGTATCGCTTTCAAGTAATTTGGACAGTGAGGAAATTGATCGACGCGACGAGAAGGCGACTATTGTGTTCAAATTATGAGATAAAATATTTTAGGACACATTTTTACGCGACGTTCTCTGGTTCCAAACTAAGCAACGCTTGTACTATGGGTACTAGATTACGGATAAACATACTTAAACATACTTTTCTTTTGTAAATAAATACACATTATACATATAAAAACACCCAGACACTAGAAAAACACTATGTTCATCACACAATATTTTGAGTAGTGGGGATCGAACCCACACACTCTAGCTCAGGAGGCAGGACCTACCCACTACGCCATTCGGGTCCAATTTCATCCACCATACTGCCAAAGCTTTATAAGGCTACATTTGACGGGGGGACGGTGCGCCTCTCGAGGCAATGCCCGAGTCGTCGGGTTCGATTCCCCGATACCCGCACCTGCTTCTAGGCAGTGTAGACGACCTCTGGTTGTTGTTCTGTTCCGAATAATCAACCTCGACGCACAATCGATGCAGACGTTATGACTCACCCAGCGTAATAATTGGATATCTAATTATTTTTTTTATAGTCTTAAGATAAAACATTAATTTTTTTTTAGAAAAAGTACGAAAAGAGTGTCACCGCAGTGGGAATTGAACGTCTTCGGCATTCGCAGCCTAATGCTTTAGCGACTAAGCTAAACGGCTGATTGCCACACCGAAGAAATCTAAATAAAATGAAAAAATAAAACATCCAAGTCCCCGTACCGCCACAAAGTGTTCCGCGATACAAAGCGCGGGAAAACAAAACCTAATAGAGTAGATGCTTCTAATTCAAATCGGTCTTGTAAGAGCATGTTGGTTACCGACGACTCGCCAGCTGTACTAAAATACTCGTGGAGGACTTGCCGCCATTTTAGAAAATAATAGGCTCCCTTATTGAAGGTTTCTAATCGTATTTTGTCACAGCCGTATAGCCCCTACATAGCTCCACCAAAGTTTTAAATAATGTTAGCATGAAAATAATGGTGCCAGGCTCGTCCACTAGTAACTACCACGGCCTCGCTGAAGGCTGTGAGGGTGAAGTATTAAACTTACGCGTTTCTTCTGGTAAGTGAGGCAACTGACAACTTTATGCCGTAGCTGCAATACTTAACCTTAGGTGAACCAACTACTAGCTTGATAACTTTGCACGTAAAAATTAATAAGACAGCTTTCTTTCAATCAATAACTAAAACTCCAGATCGTCCGTGCGTTGTCCATAGTTTCAATCGTTTTTATTATCGATAATCGATTTGTCGTCGCGATTCGTCTCGTTCCATCACTAATTGTTTCCAGGATCTGTAGCCAACCGTAGACAGTGAGAGCGGATGTAGGCAACTAATGATGGATTTTGTTTGAAATTGCCTTTAATTGCTTCTTAATTGTCCGATCGTTGTTCACGTCATGTTCCAATTACTTCCATGGACTATTACAAATATAAGCTCGAAATTGGTACGTTTTGAAATACGTTTAAATAAAACTATAGAAAATAGTATACTATTTGAACAGAACTACAGTTTAGAATGTTTTATTTTTTACCTTACCTAATACTAAGATGGTTTTTTCACTTTAAGCTTTTAAAAGGTGTATCAAATATTTCGCTATTAAATTAAATATTTTAATGTATATAAATTATTATTATTGCCTCAATTATCCTATCACAAATAAGATCCATACACAGATTACTACTGTGGTAGGGCAGCACAACAGTCTTCGCTGTGGCTTTTACAAAACGTTTGAACTTACACTCAATTGTTTGTGATCACCTATTCGGGTTCGATCCCCAACTACTGGAAAAATATTGTGTAATGAACATAGTGTTTTTCTAGTGTCTGATGTGTAATATATGTATAATATGTATTTATTTACGAAATAATAGTATGATTAAGTATGTTTATCAGTTATCTAGTATCCATAGTGCAAGCGTAGCTTAGATTGGGGCTAGAGAATGTTGTGTAAAAAAATGTGTCCTTTAGATTTTAGCTAGCAACGCATAATGCCGGTATTACGAGAGCTCATTGTATCGTGGCTGTGACGAAACATAGATGGACGCGTCTCCACTACAAATCCGAGTATGAATAATTAACCCGGTAACCTTGAGTCGATTTCCTGTCCCTCGCTATTGGCCATTACAATGGATCGATCGAACGACCGGCCCCCGTCGCTTAGAGTTTTGCATACCGCGTAATACTAACACGGCCTTTCCACTAGGTACACCCGCGTTCCAGGGCGGTTCTCACCGCCCCCAGCCACCGACTAACCAAGCACAGTCAACGGCCATCGGGGTCACGGTCCGCACCGAAACTCGATGGCCTGTTGTGTTATAATTAACGCACGCATGAGTACATGCGCGGCCCTGCCCACTGAGGAGGGCCTCAAACCCGTGGGTTCTGGCCAGCCCACCGGTTCTGCGTTCGATGAAGCTTTAACAGTCTAAGGACTGAAAGGGTGACATCAGTTATACATCACACTAACACGGCAAGCCGGGTGGCGTGTTAGTGTCACGCTTGTCGCGAGCTGAACTTCGCTTGTCCATTGGTATGAACTTCCAAGTCCTCTTTCTTGGTCACCAATGTTGTGATGAAGTCGTTCACGTTCACTTGTGCGTCTCTTTCCGACTAGAGATCTAGCTGAAGAGCTATCATACATCATCAGAATAATAATCTTCATCATTCGTTACTTCTTACTAGTCCTTATGATATGCGGAGGTAAAGAAGATATGAGAATACGAAAAAGCCTTATATTTTGCAGAATATTAAATAGTCTTAATAACGCCAGGGAACCTACTATCTTCTTCGTCAGTTCGCTAGTGTCCTAGAACTTATAACTGAGCACCAAGAAGACAAAAAACCCCCGGGTCACAAGTATCCACTTATTTAAGGAGTTTAATGCAATGCATCTTTTTCCTATTCCAAGTTTAAATTTGGGTACAAATTTATGACGACGAGAGACGCTTCACGACCGTAAACTATAGACCCGAACTCAAGGCGTGTACTAAAAAGCTTCATTTATTATTTAGCTTATGAACAATTTACAGAGTAATTAGCTTGTAAATTATTTTAATGAAACATCTTGGTAATCAACTTGTTATCAACACGTACGTATTATTAACATAACGTACCGCATTATTAACTGCGCAGATGTCGTGAAAAGAATAACTTTTGCAATGATCTTGATTTTATAACGAAGACTTCTCCGCTTGAAAGAAAAAAAAGACATCGCTGGATTTAGTCGTGTAATGTGACGTAGAATCGACGCAATCGCCTCATTCCCGGATCCCATGTCCCGCAATATATACGGGCGGCCGGCGCGAATCTTATCATGTTCGCAATACCGATTAAATGTATTGCCGTACGCATAAAGATTCTTGTTACGCTGACGGACGGGCGGAGCGAAAAAAAAAACTACGTATTTTATGCGATGACGGTCACGCGGTCGGCGACTAAAAGGCCACATCAACGGACTCAGAATTTTTGAGGCCCCGGTGCCTTCGGAATGACAAGAGCTCGCCGATTCTGTTGCCAAGCGGAAATGGCAAGGGCGATGATAATGGGACCTACGGAGCGCTCTTCATTTGTTTTTATTCGAAACTCACCAGCGCTTGACTGCCATCCCACCTGATGGTAAGTGACGATGCAGCCTTTGATGGTAAGCGAACGATAGAATAAAATAACAACAAAAACAATCCAACGACCCGGCGTTTGCCAGAGAAATGGACGCAAATGAATGAATATAAACATAAAATAGCCTCGAAAAGCATTACTCTTTTCATCATCTGTGTGTACTTTATCGTATCCATATCGTGAAATGGCAACACCAAACAAAAATATTACAAACCATTAAAGCCGGTGCGCAACTAGCCTCAATATAAACACAAAACTAAACGTCTAGATTCCGCGAGTGAATTTTTAACCGTCGGAAAAGCTAGTAACTCGTAACGAAATTACGCTAGTTCGGTAACGCGGACTCGCACGTAACGGCATCTAACGATGGCGTCGTAGCTAACGTTAAAGTTAACTTAACACTCAATAAATCAGTTAAGCCTCTTGCCCGCTTGCCTTTTTTCATAAAATCAAGCAAAAAACTATTAACTCTGCCAAAAACGACAAGGGTGCGTAGACCCTGAAAGGTGTTAGAGGATTGATAGGGCAAATCAAGCCAGGCATAAATGAGACAGTGAGTGTCTCTAGTAAGGAATACGCGAGAGGCTAGCTACTAATATTTTGTTGGTATTGTGCCCTATATTTTTCTTTTTTTATGTTAAAAGTTGCCTAGCGAGCAGACGGTTGACCTGATGCCGGCTGCCGCCCATGGACATCTGCGACACCCGAGCGTTGACAACATATTGAAAATTGGGATCCTGCCACCTCACTCACCAGACGAAACGAAGGATTATACTTCCACTTTACGGCGGTCTTACGAGCCTGCCATTCGCCCAAGAGCCGAGGCCGCTGCGTGGCCCTACCACCGTATATAACGACAGCAAAGCTAATTATAACAACATAGAATTTTGAAGACATTTAGATTTCGCAGACACGAAGTTGTTTCATTCTCGGTGACTTCTTGGCACGCAGACTAATAAGGCATTACGGAGAAATATGCAATATACCTATATAAAATACCGTATTGTGATAAAAATAAAATGAGACTGGACATATTCCCGGGACTCCCCGCTACAGAAGCCCGCAAGCCCCCATCTAAGCGTCAGGCCGTCAGGTGGGCCGCCCGCCCCGGTCCGCCTCACGAAAATACTCAAACTCGAAATACTCGAAACTAAACAAGCGGCCGCCGAGGCCCGTCACGACGCGTGCAACGCTGATATATCAATTGCCACCTCGAAAAAAGAACACGGCCGATCGCCTCCCGTGCCGCGCTCCGGAACGGGGTCGGCGCGAATTCGTGAAGCAAACGAGGAGCGACGTCGCTGAGAAAATCGCGAGGCGTCGTCGTCGGGACGTTTTATTATAATCGCAATACACCCCCTCGCCCCGCCGCCCCACTCCCCTCGCCGTCGGAGCGGCCGTGAATTCCCACGCGTCTGCCCTTGAACTAGTAAATGCGCGTAAAAATATCGACGGAAGGCGGAAAGTGTGTCGATTGAAAGTAAGAAAAGAAAAATAATAAAAACCCGCCGCCCGTATAGCGTGCCAGGTTATGCGAATCGAGCGTCGCGTCCCGGAATTCTAATTGGCGTTCCGTGAGCGAGTTTATGTCTGTCGGAATATAGTTTCGCTTGTCCTAGGCAAAGTGCGCAGCTTCCTCGATTGTGGGCGTTCCCGCGGCCCGGTTGGGTCCGCTCGGTGGGCATAAAGCATGCTGATTTTGCATGCTTCCTCAACTATGAAAGAGCGGTCTACGCCGAGTTAGAATTTGGATTCGCATATTAAAAAAAATCACGCACTCGGATTTAAGACGTGTGTGTATAGGACAACGTCTTTTTGGTCCACTAGTTTATCTGTAATTCGCTTTTACAAAGTTCTCTTTATACTTTCGAAGTTGGTGGTAATCCCGTGCTGATGTTAGGGTGGAAATATTCAGGTAGGCAAAAAAAGTCAAATATGTACTCTAAACCTGTAGGATATAGAAAATTCCGTGACAGTTAAAAAACTGCTGAATATTAGACCTTCTATGTAAAGAGTATATTATTGGCTCATATCAGCTCATATCTTAGCAGTTTTTGTTATTATTCAGAAGATATGCAGGTTTCCTCACGGTGTTTTCCTTCTCCGCTGAGCACATGATAAGTCCAACATTTTGCCGGCACTGAGAATTGAACACAGGTTGCTCGAATTAAAAGTGAGCGCCCGGACACAGAGATATAACGGCCCTAACGAGTGAGAACCAAAGTAATTGCTTTCGAAACGATGCTCACGAAGTCGCTAGACTCCCAATATTATAAATTCACAGTTGGTTAGGTACTTTTCAATGGCAGAATCCTATAGCGGTAATGCGTTTAGTTTAAACTAGCGACCCGCCCCGGCTTCGGACGGGTGCAATGCTGAAACTGAATATTCTCTATTATATTATGCATGTATTATACATATAAACCTTCCTCCTGAATCACTCTATCTAGTAAAAAAACCGCATCAAGATCCGTTGCGCAGTTTTAAAAATCTAAGCATACATAGGGACAGACAGACAGCGGCACGACTTTGTTTTATACTATGTAGTGATGACGAAACAACGTAGTACGATAGTAACGTAAAGTAAGGTAACAGTCTATACATGTCCCACTGCTGGGCAGATGCCACCTCTGTACAGAGGGTATTAGGGCATAGTCCACCACGCGGTCCCACTGCGGATTGACGGACTTCACATATCTTAAAAATATATATTGTTTTTAGCTACGCTCTAACACAATGGTCCCATACGATATTTACCACCAGAATGGAAGACGGGAGAACCTGTGAAGGCTGGTCGGGAATATCTAGGAGGTCTTATGCATCGGTTATTTCATCAACTGGTTATGTCAATGCGTTTCGGAATCATTATAATCATCGTAATATTGTGTGACGAAACTTTGGTTAGTTATTGTCCCCACGAATGCAATTAACGAGTTGTTAACAAAGTGTAAGATTAATCTATGGCACGTTCCCATCAATCGATAGTTACTGAAAAAATAAACCGCCAGACAAGTACGAGTGAGTGCCTTTAAGTCAGCGGTACACGTAATGGAAGATTTCAAACGGTAAACAAACGAAAGTGTTTCCACAGGACCGATTGTGGCTGAACGTCAGATAGAAATTTTCAACGTAAAAATAGTTTCATTCGGTGCGACGCAAGGCACGCGTAAACACAAGAAATCTTCATTTGGAACGTACCTCGGTTACGCTCGACGCGTAGCTAGCTTTGCTTTTATAGCTGGGTGTTGCCAACGCCGCGGAGCCGCCGACCGTGGAGAATTTTTGTTATTGCGCCCACGTAATTAATTCAGAGGCGGCGAGGTGTTGCCATGGCGATAGGCGCGCTGGAGGCACGGCGAGCGAAACGAGGTTATGACGACAATTAAATGTGAACAACGGACGTTAGTATTGACATTTATTTGACCGAAATGTCACAGGTGTTCTTACAGTTGGGAGCCAACTTCCTTTGTACAGTAGGAAATTTTAGAATAGATTGTTTAGAGTAGATTGTTAAAATTTGCAGAAAAATCGACCGAAACATTTTTGGACCGCGCGCGAATCGAACTCGCGTATTTCGAAGTGGTCCCAGAAATTTAACCACTAGGCTAAACGGCAGAGTGCCACGCCTTTTCGATCTATATTCTTTTTTTTGAGTAGATTATAATATTCATCATAATTATCTCTATTTTGAAGTTTTGAACCGTCTGTTTTGAACCGAGGAAGGAGGCGCATTGCCTTTGCGCACCTCCGATCTTTATTCACCGAATACAGCCCTTCAGTACAGAGTACAGATCACCAGCAAAAATGCAGTAAGACTTGAGACATAAGACATTTTATTTCATCGCACACATCTACATACATAACCCGTATTATATCTATTAGTAGATATAATGTTTACAGAAATAATAGTAATAATAATAAAATACAAGGAAATATGCACGCAACGCTGTTGCACGAATGGGCAGCTCCGTCCGGGAAAGCACCTCACGGAAGACAGGTGTGAAGTGGAAGTGTAATACTTTTGCATTGCCTCTGGTGAGTGTGGTAGCTGGGGCAAACTTTATTAAAAGGTGGCAACCCATCAGCAACCCTACGGGTATTATAAATGTCAATGAGCAGCGGTATCACTTAAAATCATCAACCACCAGCTCATTTGCCACCTTTGCACTTAAAAAAAGAAACTTAAAATTGGAAGTCTATTGTAAGTCTTTCGGACTTAAACAGTCTAGGGAATCGTATCCGTTATGATGAAATGATGGAAGGGATCACATCCGCTTTAAAACTGCAGCGCTGATTCTCAGCATGCACATAAGCTCTTTTTGCTGCAAGATACAAAATGTAACGTTGCAATAATGCTCAGATATTTACCAGCAAGAGTACTTCGTTAACAACAAGCTCGGGGTGGCAACGCCTCCATCAGCCCTGGCTGATGGAGGCGTTGCCACCTGTACTCCTGAGTACAGTGATAGCCGATCTGAGGACGACACCCGAGGCCGCGTAACGTAAATACGCGCTACATGAGAACTATTTCCAGCGTTTTATATTGCCAACGGCCATTTTGTAGGTCAGTTACGTCCAAACAATCAGCGAGCTTTATTTACTAGAACGCCTCCAGTTGTATAAACACCGGTTCTCTTTCGCTTTTTTAAACGGCTGAATTATTTGGTCGAGATTGGGTTGAGCGTCCGACTAGCGCTGGTATTGTATTTTCGCAGCGCGTAGCTTTTCTCCGCCTCTAATGCCCGACCCTGGTCCAAATCCGCTGGTGGGTTTTGTAATGATTCGCGTTATTGCTCCTCTTTTCTTGTTAACACAAACAAACATGACGTATGATGAATTTACGCCTGAGGTTAGATTCGTATATTATGCCCTACATACGGCTCGACGATAAAAATTACACGGATTTTGGATTCATCTCTTAACGAGAGCCGACTGGTGCTTGATTCTACCCTTCTTATATAATGGCCATTGAAGATGTGACGATAGATCTTTAATATGATAGCTCTATAAGCTTTAGTCACGTAGAACTATTAATAAATGACTAGTATAACGATGGTAGGGCCACGCAGCAACGATGGTAGGCCCACCCAGCAACGGTGGTAGGGCCAACCTCACGGAAGACCAGCGTAAAGTGGAAGTATGATAAATACTTTCGCGTTTCGTCTGGTGAGTGAGGTAGCCGGAGCCCACTTTCCGAAAAGGTTGTCAACGCATCTGTAACCCTCGGGTGTAGCAGACGTTCATGGGCGGCGGTATTCAATTACCATCAGGTGAACCGTCTGCTCGTTTGGCAACTTTTCACACATTAAAAAAAGTGTAGCTTCCTTAGCAACCATCAGTACAGATTTAAAACATTGCTAACTATGTTTTGACGAAATTCAAAAGAGGAATATTAAAACTTTCGAACAATGTAAAAGGAATGTGTCTTTGGAAATACCGTTATCTGCTTTCGAGACTTGATCTGATTCGAGTTTTCTGCGTTGACTGCGTTGTATCATCAATGTCCAGTTGAACTTTTTTTTATGAAGGACATGTAAAATGGTTTCACGGTTGGAGAGTATCGTCATCTACGCAAATTATAACTGCAAAAACTTGCAAACAGCACTCGGAAACTTGTAAAATCTTTTCGGTAAGAATAGGCATCTTGAACGATCTAAGAAGTAATCGTTCCGAATATCGCTAGTGACCATCAGACTGTACAAAAATAATTTTCTAATCGTGTATCAATATTCTTTCCTAATTCCTATATTCTAACCAATTTATCATCCTGATTATAGGTTTGGAATCACAATGGCGTTTGGCACTGCTTTCGATTATTCCAAAAACTTCGACGTACGAATAGAAATGAGCTCACAGGCGATTGATGCAATGAGATCTATTCCGGAAGTTTTTCTACGTTTAAATTCTGTATGCGGACCGTACACGGTCACTACTTTATTTGGGAAGCGGTAACTCATCGTAGGGATTTTACCCTCTGTGGTCATATTTGTTTATGAGGTACACCGCATCAACGGCTGGATCGTTATCGTCCCCTCAGCTCTGTCCAGCGCTGTTATATCTTTGCTCCAGGCACTGGACGTGTGAACTACCCAATTACGTCTGAAGTCCCTAATTTAATTAGGTGCAACGCGTGGGGAAGTTGAATGTAACGACTTTGTGACCGGGCCCTTTACGGTCAGGTACCATCGATTGGAATCTTTGTTTATTGTAATGGAATAAAGTTTTATTATTATCATTCTGACATGGTGCGGCGTACATAATATTATTGATGGAAAGGGCCTGTCATAATTTCGATGAATACA